TGTAACAACAAGAGAGAGACTAAATCCTAGTCCGTAGCTACAGGTGAGGCAAGAGCACCCTGTTATGTCTGCAGCAACTGCCTAAATTTCTAGCTTCAAGATGACATGTCCTTGTTGACACAGAGGAAATTACGTTAATGATTGATCAGCCTTGGCACCAGGGACACTGCACTACAGTGGTCTCCCCAGCGAGTTCTTAAGTCTCCTGTCATAACCGTAAAGAATAATGAAATGACAGATCGAAACATTCTTCCCATAGGTCATGTGTATTTGTAGATTACATGCAGAAACATGCATTTATTTACTCTTCTCATATGATTAAGTCTAACTTATCACTCAGATACAGGCAAATAAATATACAACATTTCTCATAACCTTACATGCTTGTGTGGAATAGCTTGTTTGCAGTTTGTTCGATGGTAGGTACTAATTTTTATTTTGAAATAATGGGCTCTGCATAGAAGATGATTACATCTGACACATGCCATGTCCTTTTCAGCTGGATCCTAGTGCCAGTCAGCTGAACTCCAATGATGCCTTTGTCCTGAAAACTCCCTCCGCTGCTTACCTTTGGGTGGGCCAAGGAGCCAGCGATGCTGAGAAATCAGGAGCGCAAGAGCTGCTGAAGACGCTGGGTGCTCGCCCAGTACAGGTTTCTGAGGGCAGAGAGCCAGGTGAGGGAGGCACAGTGGAGCCCGAGGTCATTGCTGTGTGGCTGCAAGTTCTCAGGATTATTTCATGGATAGTTTCTTTTGTCCCTCAGAACAAGGAAATGTGGACGGAGGGGTTTCTCCAAAGTAGCTTCATTACGTTTAACAGTGCGCTCGTGTTTGTAGCCTTCGGGACTTTCTGACATAGAAGAGCACTTCAAATCCTACCCAAACCATACTGCTACTGTGGCTTCCATGTAGTGTTGAAGCATCAGTATCTCCTTCTCATTTCCAGATAATTTCTGGGCAGCTTTGGGTGGCAAAGCTCCTTACCGTACCTCTCCCCGGCTGAAGGACAAGAAGATGGATGCTCACCCCCCTCGTCTTTTTGCGTGCTCCAACAAGAGTGGGCGCTTCATTGTGAGTATCTCATAGTCAATTCATTCAACATTGTCTGATAAAGCTGGGAGAAATTCTGTCCCAGTCTGTTGTGAGCCAGCCAACAGGCTGTTACACCTTACCTTCCTCTGTGGCGCTGCCTCCGAAGGAAAGCATCGCCACCCTTTTTCTGCAGACAGCAGCTAGTTCTGTTGCACTGTTGTGTCAGCACAGCGACTTTCTGAAGCATCAAACCAGTCCTGCCCTGGTTAACAGCTAGCACACAGCCACCTCGAATTCTGTGACTCTTTCTAGTATAAAGAGGCAGCAGTACGAGTCTTGGGCACACGTGAAAGACGGTATCCCTAGGCAGAGACCGATTTTGTGTTCTGTGGTCTGAGAGTGCTTCTGTGACGTACCTGGAGTTGCGTGGTCAAACCCTGTGCCAGTGTCTAGCTCAAGGCATCCCTCCGACCGGAGGTTGAATAGGACCTGTGTGAACTGGGTTTCTCCTGTAAAGGAAAAAGGGCGCTTGAACTATGGTGCTCATCTTTTAACCTTATGTTTTCCAGATTGAGGAAGTTCCTGGAGATCTGACTCAGGATGACCTCGCTACAGATGATGTTATGCTCCTTGACACGTGGGATCAGGTACAGCACATCTACCGGGTGAAGAGGGGAGCAAAGAACTGGCACAAACTGGGTCTAGATTGAGGCCCAAACAACAATAGCTGGAATAGTTGTTGTACTAGTATCCTTCATCGTCGGGCCTGAGAGCAAACACCTCAGCAGTGACAGTGAACAGAACTTGCGCCTGGAATGTGAGAAGACAGTTGGTGTCCTGCAGCATCCCTGTCCTAGCCAGCAAGGACTGAGAACCGTTGTAGGATTCGGCCGCTGAAGCTGCTGACACGTTTTCTGCTCTTTTTCAGTAACAGAGGGCAGGTCACTTACTGTGCATGAATCAACCAAAAGACAACTTTGAGATTAATTTTGTACGTTTTATGTAAAAAAGTTCAAATGTGCTAGTTTTTCCTGATGTTAAGCTACAGTGTAATTTGTTCATGTATCTAGAATTTATGCAGAATTTTTATCAGTTCTGCTCACTGAAACTTTGTTCAAGTTATCCTTTCTTTCCTAAAGAGATTGATTGCTGCTGAAATAATTCATATGTTTGGGTTTTTTTACCTTTAGGTCTTTGTATGGATTGGGAAAGATGCCCAAGAAGAAGAAAAGACTGAGGCTTTGAAGTCTGGTAATATTGCATTTTCCTCTCTGAATGAACCCTTTTTTATTTTCCCCCTGATCATAAGGCAGGCAGTTTAATATACTGAGAAACATACCTTAATCACAACATAAAATTCAATGTCGTGAACAAAAATATCACCTCTCTCAAGAAAGGAGGATGCCCAAGATGAGGAGGTATAGCATTCAGCCATGCTGTGCTCAGCCCCTAGCAGCGAGTATAGTATCCATGTGGGAAAGCAGGTATAGGCTGCCACGGTATTACAGCATTTTAGAATCATAATAGTTTTCTACAAAGAAGTGCCAGTCTTCTAACAGCTGTAGGTAAAACCATAGAGTGAAAACTTCTGTGGGTTTGGTTTTTTTCAAGTGAGCAATCTGCAATTGTATCTCTAGCATCCACTTAGCTACAGTTAAGCTGGGTCAGCTGTTGCTCTACCAGACTGGTACCCTGTGAGATTTCCTTCTACTTGTGTGCTTTCAGCTAAACGGTACATTGACACCGATCCGGCCAGCCGAGATAAGAGAACGCCAGTCACGGTTGTTAAGCAAGGGTTTGAACCACCAACCTTCTCCGGCTGGTTCCTGGGCTGGGATGATGACTACTGGGCTGTCGATCCTCTACAGCGAGCAATGGCAGATGTGGACGTCTAAGGAACAAGTTTTTTTCTTTTTTAAATGGAGCAAGTTTCATGCCTTCAATGCCTTCAAGAGCTACTTCCTCCTGCAGGATGCATGTTAACAAGGCAATGATGTTAATAGCCAATTAGCTGTGCAATAATTACTGAAACAATCACGACCAGTCATTGACCCTACTCCTTGCTTTGATTATATTTAATACTATAAAGCTTGTATGGAATACGTGAAGAATAAAAACAGTGGGGTTTGTTACTAAGAAGAAAACATTAAACAGAACCTGTAGATCCCACATTTGAACTTGCTTGAAACAAATACACCTTAGAAAAGTAAACCTGCTTTGTGCCATCTTTTGCACATGTGCTCTTTACTAAATGGTTCCAGAAATGACTTTTGGGGGTTGGGGATTGGTTTGCTTTCCCCTTGCCAGAATTATTAGCATCTAAGATGCTGATAAATTAACAGTATTGTACTCTTTCAGAAAGTCAGTCATTAGTGAACAGCATGGTTTTTTATTCAGGCTGAGTGCAAAAAGTGTGCTCCTGGTGTCAACAAGAATTCACAGGGGGGCCATCTACAGCAGCAACCGGAGGAGTTACAGCTTCGCTCATCTTCCCCAAGGATTCACCTCAAGCTCTGCAGTTACTGTTTCCCACTTCAGGTGCATGAGCACAACAATGCTAATTACTACATCTTTGTTCACCATCTTTCTCCCCCCTTTCCCAGCAAAAAGTCAAGCTCAGCTTACATTAACTGCAGTACTGACACGCGCGCAGACAGGTACAGACAGGTATCTCTGCTTGTACAACGCAGAGAGGAAGAGAGTTTACAGCAGAGAGGCAGGAGAGGACCAGTGACAAAGGCACAGCTGAACAGACCTCACCCTTACTACAAGTAAAACCTGATCATAGCAGAAAGGTAACAAAAACCAAGTTAGGAACTTGCTGGCCAGCGTGAGAAGGGCACTGATAGCACTGATCCTGGCTTTCTGTTTTCATTGCCGCCTCCCACTGAAGACCAGACGGTAGCCCAAAGAGCCTCCCTGCATGCAGACTCTCATTCTTCTCATTTTAATCTGTAATTACATCTACTAAGCAGGTACAAAATAGGAATACAGTTTAGCAGACTGACAGCTCAAGACTACATGAACTGAGGATTACATGCTTTTGGTATTAAGTATAAGCCCTTAGTGTCACAACAAATACTACAGGTCTGCTCAGAAGCAGCATCAACAGGTAAATCATGAATTTGTTAGAAGTTACACAAACAGTACAGCATCTGCTGGTAAACATCACCTCCCCCTGCTAATTACAGAGATCTTACTTCCTGGAGAAGCAAGGGTTTAGACCTGGATAAAATGCAGGAGTCAGTACTTTGGCTTTTTAAAATTATTTTTAAGAGTGACAGATAAAGGCAGACCAAACAATTTCTCAGTGCTTTAAAGAAGCATATATCTATACAGGCACACCACCAGAACCACAGAACAGCCTGTCAGTGACAGCACGTGCATTGTATCCATAACTATGGCATGTTTGTGCCATTGCTGTGGCAGGACAGAGATGGGAAATTCCACTTCAGTAACATCAGCTAACAACTGTTTCTCATGAATGGGGACTATTTTAGCAAGTACAAGCCTGATTTTCAGAAGCACCCAGTACAGTGTTCTCACTGCTGTATCAACTTGCATTACTTTTCCTTGTGTGAGCTAGAGAACCAATCCACATGACATCAATGGGATGACTTCATCACATAGAGCTACACTCCCAGAGAACAGAGTCAGGGCTCCTCCACTTCCCTTGCCCAGACACACTGGTTAAAAGGAACGCTTCTCTGCCCAAGTGTTGGGTCACCTCATCTTCATGACAAACGCTTTTATATACTATTTGAAACTGGGAGGTTATAGGTGGAAGGTGTCCATTCAGGACAGTGGGGATACATGCTTATTTAAGATCACAATGTGATTGTACTCATTTTGGGAGGTTTTCAATTTTAAATAATTTTGATTGTCCATATTCACAAACATTACATATAAGTCTTATAAACACACTTAGTATAACAAAAGAGGTTCTCCAGCAAACCCCCTTTAACACCGCCATAAGCTACAATACCCAGGGAGTTCAGTGTTGCAAACATTTGCTGTAGCAAAAAAAAAAAAAAAAGTGCCCACCCCAGCTCTCTCCTCCTGCTCTACCTAGCGATTTTCACCTAAGAGGCCCTGCAGCATATTTATGGGCAATGGGAAGACGATGGTGGAGTTCTTTTCCGCAGCAATGGTGGTCAAGGTCTGCAAGTAACGAAGCTGAAGAGCAGCTGGGGACTCTGTAATAACCATGGATGCCTCTTTCAGGGCCCTGGAAGCATTCATTTCACCCTCAGCTGCAATCACCTGGGGAAGCAAAATGAATGAAATAGAATTAAGGCACAGTAATACACCAGAAATGTGAAGGATGAGTTCAGCCTTAAGTCATCAACCAAAGACACCGCTGATCACTCGAGTGGGGTGGCCTGCCCTTCCCATGTTCTGTCACCAGCTCTGCCTTTTCCCTCGCTTGGATGTAGATCACTCCTGTCGGCCCCTGAGGCCCCATGTGCCCCTTCTCCTCCCACTCTGTCAGGACACCAGATCACAAAAACTGGTGCCATATCTTGAAATGCAATGGGTAAATTTGTTCTATTTTCAAAACTGTGTTTTGTGCTTCATTCAGCACTGCCTCTCAAAATCAGAGGGCACTCCCCAGATACACCTGAAAATACTTTTTATTAAAGCTGTGTGATTTTTGTCTTGACAAGGGCTTGACAGGTGAACAGCATGTTTCTTACTTGGAAAGTACCTGTTTATTCCCTCATTCTGTTTAATTATGAGCTCATTAGAGACAGATTTGTGGTACTACATTTCTTTACAAGCAGAGCCCTTCTTCATTGGGACAATATAAACGTTTTCTGAGTATTTCTAAAGCACGGCTGGATTAGAGGATGGGACTGTTTTAACAGGTAAGTTACTGGTGAGGCAATTTACATGCGTGGCAGCACAGGCAAGTGCGTATTTCAAAAAAACCTACAGAGTTCTATTGCAAGGGCATGATATTGTTTTAAACATCAGAATAAATAATAATAATTAAAAAATAATCACAAAATAATTAAGCTTCCCCCCAAAAATGTAGAAATTAATACTACTGTAGGCTTAAAGATCTTTTCCTAGGTGCACCACCGACTTCACATTCAATAATTGCTAGCCTCAAAGTCTAATGAAATTCAGTTCAGCAATTATTTCCCATGAAAATAAAAATAATTAGAACCTAAAGATAGGTTAAAGTTAATGAAACTCACAATTAAGTAGTGGATATGGAAATCTGTCATATTATGTGCATAAAAATCACTCACACTGTGAGATGAGCATCGTAAGTTTAGATGTCATTTTCATGGCATTAGATGAACTCTAGTAACTAATCTCCCTTTAGCCAAGACAAATTTTTAGTATTTAGAATGCAAGTTCCATTTTTCTATGGGCACGCAGCTCAATAGACCACTAATATCTACCAGAAGCCCTCATCTATCAGCTTAGTCTACCAAAAAAGACTGATAAGATGGTTTTTGGACATCCAGGGTTTTTTTTTGTGTGTTTGTGTTTTAAAGACAGACTCTAACAGTTACATCTATGGAGGCCCAAGTAAGTTTTCAAGACAGGATTAACAAACCACCAGAGTCGTCCTAGGAAAGGACAGCTGTAACTGCCCCTAAGGATTTTTACTCCGAACCTGAATATTTAGCATCACCTTCTCCCACCTCAGAAGGGAGTAAGATGTCCAGCGAAACTGGTTGCTGGTCAGTTAAGGGTGACAGTAAAACTAAGTATTACACCTGTTTTATTTCTCATGTGAGGTACCAAACAGAAAACAAAGGACTTGCCTAATATCAGGGCTAGTCAGGAAAAAGCTGGAAGTAAGTTTGGCTTCTACTTCACTGCAGGCTCCAGCTAATAGCCTCAAAATTGTTCTGTTTATGATTTCTTCTTGGGAGTGTGGTAAAAAACTGAGATTCTGCATTTTTGAAGGAAATCTCACCTGCACGATCCAAGATGAAATAGAGCAAGCACCCAGACGCAAATCCTGCCCTGCACTCCTATTTGCTACAACACAATCTGGCTGAGAATCTTCATCTTCTACACCACCACGTTAAATTATTCATGAAGAAAAAAAATTACCAAAAATCCAACCCCAGATGCTGACATTATTACCTTAGCTCTCGCCTCCCGGGCAGCTTCGGCTTCTGCAGCCATTGCTCTCTGCATCTGGACAGGTAATTTCACATCCTTGATCTCCACACGTTCCACCTTAATGCCCCAATCATCTGTTGCCTCATCAAGTGTGGCCTAGACAAGGCAGGACAATTAAGTTAAGCCATCTACCTGGCTACAAACAAATGTCCAAATTTGAAGAATGACCAATAAACCAAGTGAATTATCTTATGATTCTTGGACTTTAAGGGCTTTTGTATTTATATTATGATTTGATAATTATAAAAGTATAGCTGTTGTAAACTAATAAAAAGACTCCAAATCACAACTTGGCTTATTACTTAGAAGGTAAAATACATCCTGACCTGTAAGTTATCTGTGGATTGCTTAGGTAAAGGTGCTCATACCTGCATGCTGTGTGCAATTTCTTCACGATCGGAGAGAATCTGAGAAAGGTTTTTGGTCCCTAGAACATTCCTCAAAGTAGTCTGTGCTAAAAGACGGGTGGCCGAGTCAGCATTTGTGATATTTGCTACAGCCAGGGTGGCATTCTGAACTCTGTAGTAAACCACTCCGTCTACATTAACCGTCACAGAATCCTTAGTCAAGATCTAAAAAGCAATGGGGAAAGCATATAACAATTAAGCATAAATTTATTTAATATAATGATAATTACATATTTGTTTTACTCAAGGGTAAGAGGGTACACCAGAAAGAAGCATTAATTATATTTTAAAGTTAAGTTAAAAAGAGATGGGAATATGCTGCACAACAATGAGAAGAGGTGTCCTAATTCCATGTTAGACTATTACATTATTTGACAAGAGAGCAGGACACGCGAGTTGCTTAACCTTCAAGACTTACCTGTTCTGTCCTTCCCCAAACTACCTACTTTAGCAGTCTTTTCATAATAGTATTAAGATAAACAAAGAATGAGTAGCATGCACAGAAATCATGTTGTACAAATAAAAATGTATTTCTGTATTTCTGCTTTAACCTACTGAAAACAAACAAACCTAAACCCATAAGCATAATTTCATCAAGCCAAAAGAAAAACTGTAGAACTGATGGCTTCACTAATGGCATAGCAGCAGCTGCAAGCACATTTTGCCTGCCAGTGATTAGGTTTCTACCAATTACCCTTTAGAGTGTACCATGACAGTTGCTATTTGTCTAAATCTACAACTAATGATGAGCAATAAACCTACTAGCAAATATGACAGGAAACAGATGCACCGGACAGGTTGCATGAAGCATCTTTGTCTTGCAAAATACACCAGATACATGAGGAATACAGTTATAATCATCAATTGCTCACTAACTTATTTTTAGAGGGCCAGTTGTTTCTTATTCTTTTGCTATCCATTGAGTTAACATCACCAAATTCAGCTAGTTTAACGCTGTTGAGAGATTCTACTAAAAATTAATATGTCCAAGGAAAAACAAACTAGAAATAAAAGTAATTTTTTTGTTCTTTAGGACCGTCAAACTGAAAAACATCATATGACATTAGGTGCCGCGCACCTTGATAACATTCCTGTGCATAGCAGGACACAGAAGCAACACGTACACAGAATCTGCATAAGAGAGCAGACCATTATCCTGAGTTCCTATTCATAGCATTTGATGTATATAACAATTTCATCCTGTTATTTTAGCTAGTTTAAACATCTAGATAAATTGACATAGGAAAGATCACCACTGTTTCCGGAAATCTTCCAGATTTCACAGAAACAATTAGAGAATGTTGCATGAAGTCCAGCAGCCTTCATTCCAAACCCCTCCCATTCTAGCTCTTAGGCAGTATTAAGTTATCTTATTTGGTCCTTAGAGGACAGCATAATTTGTTTTCTTTCAGCCATCTTCTCTTACTGAATGCTGTTACTAAAGGACGTATGTATTCTTCACGATACATCGAAGCTGCACAAGAAATCTACATGCTACCCAATACTGAGAAGGGGAAAGAAAAAAAAAAGTGCAAAAAATTCTGCAAACACTTTAGCAGACAAAAAGGGAGTGCAAACTCACCTCTTGGGGAGGAATATCAAAAGAGATGGTCCTCATATCAACTTTGATGAAGCTGTCTGTGCAGGGCAGGACGAAAAACAAACCTGTACAAAAAAAAAATCCATTCAACAAGATGTGAAAATGGGCCATTAAAATAGATGAAACCTGCTACTGAAATAAGCTTAAATCCAACCACTGTAGCTGTATAGCTCTCTTTGTAACGAGCTCAGCAGCATGTTAGTTACTGACTTTCAAACCAAGATAAGATTTTCAAAAAAGTATGCTGAGAAACTTGAATTTATTCAGGTCTGACTTATTTAGAGATCTTTATTATTTGGGAAAATCCCCAGAGCTGTTAACAGCTACTTTTGAAAATTTGTCTCACGTAATTACTTGTGGGGCCTAATTATGGCAAGCAGAACCTATCGACCTCCTTCTGTTCTGGTGGATCGCTGTAATTCTTTGACTTTACAGCAATGCGGAAGGATTGCAAAATCTGGATGAAAATGAAGGAAGAAGCTATTGCCCCTTTTTGTCACTTTGAGCAGCAGGAGTAACAGCTGAAAATAACATTTTTTCAGATCTCATCAGAATTTCTAATATGCACAGGAAACGTTTCAAAACTATCAGATAATTTAATTGCTTCTATTTCTTTTGAAGAGCCTCAAGGCTTTCAGACTATCTGAGTTTTAACTGACATACTAAACTTCTGTTTTAAAATGGCACATGTGCTGCCATTATTCCTCCCTTTACATTCTGTGCTTTTGATTCTACCTGAAGACCACGCATTACCTAAGGAGATCTGGGGAAGGCTCACAGATAATTAGTTTTCTATCTTCTCCATATAAAGTAACATATCCTCTTACTGGAAGTTACAAAATTCTTGAGAAATCCATTTGCCAGTATAATGCGGTCTCTAGACAGCTATTATTTTGCTGATGACTTAATTAGAACAAATATTAAGAATGCTATGCAGGACATACCTGGTCCCTTTGCTCCCCCTTTTAAGATGCGTCCAAGTCTGAATATGATGGCTCGCTCGTATTCCTTTATAATCTGCAAGAGATAGTTGGATGTCATGCAAGGGTTTCCAGAGGCCATACGATGGATTCCAAACTATGTACACACTAGTCTAAAACAGTCTTGAGTCTCAAATGTGACATACATTTCTCTACTGGCTGCTTTTGAGAATTTTAGCCTAAACTTTATCGTCAAAAAGCAAACAGCAAAAGGAACAATCAAGACAATATCCCACAAGAAATATTCTTCAGACTGTGGCACCATCTATCAACAGCAGAAGCAACAGCACGTCATCTGGGCACGACCAAGTCCTAGAAGCAGCCATCAGGAATATCCCGGCAACAAGAAAACAAAGTGCAGAAATTTTTCCAGCTCTAATTCTGATGCAGTATATTAACCAAAACAACACAAGAACTATTTCCTCTGGTCTGGAAACTGAAAACATCAAGCTCAAAGCAAGAACAGATGACACATTCTCTAAGAATCTGTCACATACGGTCACATATATGTACATGCTTATATATTTATATTTACATATTTACACATATACAGGGAGAGATCTCCTTAAGAAAAATTAAAAATTAAAATATCAGTCCTCCAAGAGAAATTAT